TTACCTGGCGTAGAGGCATTTGATCCATGCATTACCACTCAAGTGAATGGCATCCATACAATAGCATGCCGTTTGGACGATGAAAGTAAAAACCCCCATGTTAGTACTTAAATAGCCACCTAAGAGTCCTTAACTAGGCATAAAGGAAGTGATCACTGACACACTTTAGATTTCAACTCTAGGTTTCAAACACCTATTTGTATAGCTATTAGTTGCTAGAAACTGGTTTTGGAAAACAAAAACCTTTATTTTAAATACACATGTGGCAATTAATGTTGAATCTTGCTCTGATGCCAGCTATCGCAGAACCGATCAATTTATAAGAGCACAAGTACAATGGCAGCCCGCAAGCAGTCGCACTGTCATACTTGAGCCCATATAAACCCGGTAGTCCGTCGAGTACCACGACGGGTCTCGATAAACGATCCACATACAACCAAGATCGTATATGATTCAACATATATGTCACATGTTACATAAAGTTCGCAGATACAGTTTATTCATCAGAGTAGGAAATAAGGTTATTACAAACCAAGTTCGGTAAATAGTAGCGGAAGCAAATTAAAGTTCGAAACTAGTATTTGCCAACATAGTTCAAATACAGTGCCAACTCATGATCACAATCCACAAAAGCATATAAGAAGGATTATTAAAGATGCCTGCCCCGGGCTCACTCCTCATCCATGGCGAGACAGAAGAAGTTCTTGCAATAGCCGTGATAAACGGTACCATCTGCAACAATGGGAATAAAACCCTGAGTATGAGAAGGTACTCAGCTAGACTTACCCGTCATAAACCAGAAATAAATTGACTCCAAGGATTATGCAAGGCTTTATAAGTGGAGATAGCTTGACAACATTTTTTATAAAAAGCGATTAACTCAGTTATACGATTATACTTTGGTCATCAAGTTAATTATAGCTATTCATCTCTAGATTAGCGACTAGCCTGTGCCAAACATGTGGCATATCATTTAAGAGCATACAATAGTAACCATAGCCGGTGTAGTAATTCCATGTTTATCTGAACCATCACATTCTATAATACAATTACTACGATGTTGGAGCTAGCTAAGTTTCTCACTGTCTGGGAGAGACGATGATTCGAATCGATTTCAACCAGCTGGGAATTTATTCCTAACACAAACCCAGACAGACAAGATCAACGGTCACATTAAGTCACCTTTGGTACAACTCAGGTCTACATTTCGCGGGTTTGTCCAGCGCCACACAATCAGGGACAACCAACTGCCAGGACGTTTAGGCCTGGCCTGCCCTTGGGCTCACGTCGAGCTCCCCGCACATCCTTACTAATATCTAGATTGCGCACTTTTATAGAACGGGGCCCGGCCTGAGTTGAGCTACTTGGCTTCACGGTCGGAATGAGTTATCCGGCCAGCTAAGTGATAGACATGTGTTCAATCTTGTCAGAAGGGCCAACAACGGTACGGTCCTTAATCGATATAGACGGAATCACATGAGTCAACCTACACATAGACTCTGTCTGGCCTCCATTTACATTACCCCATGGTTTTTTTCCACGATAGCAAATAAAGCCAACCGTGCTTTGGTATCTATCTATATCTCGTAGGTGACAAGAAATCACCCGACTTCTATCGGTCTAAGCATGGCTAAGTATAGATTCGATCCTAGACCTACATAGGGTTAAAGGTATATGTAACTGAACAAGGTAGTTCTATGCATCAAGTGTTTTCAATCAACTCTTATAACCTAATGCATCAAACATAAAGGACTCAAATGGTATTTTATAAAACAATTGGAGACTTAGATTGCTTCGGGGCTTGCCTTTGAGGAAAGAGGTTGGCCGGTGATCCGGGCACTCAGGGAGCTATTCGGAAGTCTGCTCCTCTTCTCCTAGAGCTGTAGCTTGGGGCGTCTCCTGCTGATCTCCTTCCTCTTCCTCGATGAACTCTAACAGTGTTATCTCTTTGGTCGATCATATATGCATGAGCATGGAATAAGATATCACGAATGCATATACGATGACACGTATAATATGATATAACATGATGAATGCATTCTCATAAGTATTTTCAACAGTATAGTATTAAAGTAATAATAAGTGCATCGTATTTTAGTGAGTAGGTGTATATCTCTTCTCCATTACTTAAGCAAACACTTATGTAATCTATTTTCTGGACTACAGGACATCAGCTACTTGTTTTGATCCTAACTGAAGTTATATACATCAAAATAATATGGTTGTGGACATTCTAGGAAGCTTATGAAATTGTGTACAACTTTATTTTAATACCCTTAATGTGATTCAATAGTTATCTAGGCCAAACAATTCAGTTATTCAAATCTGTCCAGGAGGTAAACATTTGGGACAACAAACTTCTAACAGCCAAAACTCTTAAACTCTAAGGCCTATGACTATAAAAATTTAACACAAGGTAGATAAGTAAGTTATCTACAACTTTGTTATTAACAAGTTTTACAGAGAATGCCATTATCAATATGAAATTATCAGGTCAACCGAAACTATACATGCAGCCATCTATTTAAATTATAAAGCAATAATTAATTAGTTGCATATAACCAATTGCTTCTAAGCCTTACTACTAACATCAAAAGTTCATATGTATCACAAGCACCATAGAAAACATCATGGTCAAGCACAATTTATTTATTTACATGCCTTTGTTAATTTAATTATATAATTAAGTAAAATAACAAACATATATCAAATGTGCACAATAAATTTTCATAAAATTACACTAGCTTTCAAGTGCTCCCAATAGACTACTATAAAAATTTCATACCATTTGGACATGTATAACATCCCCTACAAAAATGACAAGCTAGGAATATTTATTTTTGTAAAAATAGTTAACCCTATAGAAAAGTGTTAAACAATAGATTCTATATTTTTCTTAGCTTCATAATAGTGCCATAACACTGTATAAAAATTTGCATGGCAATATGTTACTTATTTTTATCCCTATAATTTTCTTTAGAAAACACCATTTATTAATAGATAAATAGAAAGTTCATATTTCAATCAAGTTTACACCAAGTTTATTATTTGTCCTAGCTAGAGCATGTCAACACAAGACCATCAAAATTGGAATCACAATTTTATCACATTCCTAGCTCAAGTTACACATTTTACAAAATTGTAAACATTCAAAAAGCACTTATCTAGCTATATTTTATTCACCTAGAAAAGTACCAAAAATAGTGCATCTCATATTTTTATAAAATACTAAACTTCATTAGAAATTCAACAAAATTTGGTTCACCAAAATTGGACACTCCTAGTTCTAGATATAATTTTCCAAAGTTTGTACAAAAATCTGGAAAATAAATAACAAAACCCTAAACTGTACTCGCTGACGCATGGGACCCACGGGTCAGCGGACCCACATGTCCGTGAACAAAAACAGGGCACGGTGGTTGACCGGCGCTAGCTCACCGACGGCGAGGTTTTCGGCGAAACCGACCCCACCTATGTGTTCTACTCAATCACCCGCGTCAACTGGTACAAGTAGTGGAGGCGCGGACACACCGGAGCGTGCTCGTCGCCGGCCATGGCGGCACGGCGGCGCTGCGCGGAGGTGCGCCGATCGTTACTGGCCACGGCAAGGCCCGATGAGAAGCGCACGATCTCCGCGGTGACTACGCGAACCTACTGAGACTACTTAGGTTAGGTGGGACACGCCGACACGGTATGTCCACGTGCGTGGTGGTGCGACGACGAGAGCGCGGCGGCGCTAGCCGTCGTGTTCCGCGTTGGTGAGGCTACGGTTCACCGTAGGGTCACGCCACAAGCTAGGACACACCCTAACCAAGCTCTAACACGAAGAAGAAGGAATGCGCAAGGAGCGAGCCAAGCAGCGGCGAGCTCGCCGTGAAGGCGGCCATGGAAGCGAGATTCCAGCGAGGGCAAGAATGGTGAATTCGCCCTCACCGTGGCTTGCCTGGCCCTGCTACTGCGTCAAGGAGGTAGAGAGGAAGACGGCGCAACTGCTGACTAGATGGAGACGACAATGGTGTTGCAGCGCGGGTGATAGGCGATGGTGGAGCAGTACGGTGATGCGGCGACGCTCGGTGCTCCCACTGTGCGAGAGAGAGAGAGAGCAACAGAGAGGGAGAGAGTGCAAGCGCGAGTGTGGAATGAGCAGCGTGGCTTCATCTTAACCACATGTCTACCAGCTGCGACGGGGGCCCGGTGTCGGCCAGCGGCGGCCACGCGGCGGCCAAGCTCTACCAACGGTCGGCCACGACGGCGTGACACCGTGGTCATCAGAGCGCCAAACGTTTGCCTGACAGTGCCATTTCAACCCTTCCAAGCTCCTAAACCACGACGAATTGGTGCACAAGGCTAAAAGCAAAATTTGTAGAGCTACATACCAGCTCCAACTTTGCTTAGGTGATCTAGGTCTAATTCGCAAAGGTTAGGAAGATACATCATCACAAAGTCAGGCACATGAAACTGTAAAACCAAATTTGACTTAGACAAATTTCTAAGTTCCAAAAACAGTACATTGTTGATTTTTGTGATCCAAATTCAAGCATGTTAGGAGTTGAACTAGTCTATGACCCAAAAATAAAAGTTGTTACACTACTTGAGTTCTACAACTTTGTTTTAGGGTGCACAACCATGCAAAGTTTCTAAAGTAATGTTCAACTCCAGTCAAACCTACAACTTGAAAATGATGATTTACACTATAGCTATGACTTAAAGACCAAACTAGTCTTAATCATGAACACCAAAGTTGTTCCTAGTGACATTCTAAACATGTTAAAGGGGTTCCACAATCATTTTTTACATTGGTTACATATATACCCTAATATATGTAAGACATTTCAGTGACAATACATGCAATATAAGTAAACATAGAGATAATATTTGAGATGCTCATGCTCATAAATGATCAATGATGCTTGTGCTCATGCAATGCCAAGGCTAAATGCAAGCTTAACACCTAGGGTGTTACACTGTAGAACAATGTAGCTACGATGGGTCAAAAGCAGTAAAGGATGGGGATATTGTTGAAGAAGAGAAGGGTGTGGAAGAAGAAGGTGCTGTTGGTCTACTACTGGATGCAGCCAAGGATGCTGATCCTGTGGAATCACAAGAGGATGATGATTTGGTAGTGGCAGAGCAAAATGAGGATGTCATTTCTTCACAAGATCAACATAAAGTAGTGGAGCAGTCCACCGGTGATCAATTGAGAACAGGAACAGATGATAATGCTGTACAGGATCAAGAGGTGGTGGAGCTAGAAGGGGAAACTGAGTGTTACACTGCTGTGGAAGCTGTAGAACAATGCACCAATCATGGATTAACAGCAGCCAAGGATGGCAATGTTGTGGAAGAAAAGGAGAAGGCGGTGGAGCAAGAAGTTTCTGATGGTGTAATGGATGCAGCTAAGGATTGTGTTACTGTGGAACCACAAGAGGAGAATGTGGTGGTGGCAGAGCATGGCGAGGATGGCATTTCTGTGCAAGATCAACATAAGGTGGTGGAGCAATGTACCAGTGGTCAACCGGGAACAACCATGGATGATAATGCTTCAGAAGGTCAAGGGGTGGTGGAGCAGGAAGGTGCCATTTTTTATATGGATGCAACAACAGATGATATTGCTGTTGAAGATCAAGAGAAGGAAATGAAGGAATCTGATGGTGATGAATCAAGAGCAACCAGGGATGAAAATTCTGTGGAAGCTAAGGATAAGGTGGTGGACCAAGAAGATGTCGTAGATCTGGTCGTAGACGAATACGGTGTGATCAAGGATGGCAGTGGTGCGGAGTTACTAGAGAACAACGTAGTGGCTGTAGAGCAAGGTGAGGATGGCATCTCTCTATCAGATGAGGATAATATGGTGGAACTATACACAAGTGATCAGCTGAGATCAATCCTGGATGACCATGCTGCAGAAAATCAAAAGGCGGTGGAGCAAGAAGGTGACATTGTTGAAAGGGTTGTGACCACAAATCGTATTGCTGGTGAAGACCAAGAGAAGGAAGTAGAGCAATCTGCTGGTGATGAATCAAGGTCAACCAAGGATGAGAATGGTCTGGAAGATAATGAGAATCTGGATCCAGAAGATGTGATCAACATACAAGGTGTGATCAATGATGACAGTTGTGTGGAGGCACAAGAGGAGGGCGTGGTGGTTGCAGAGCAAGGTGGGGATGCCATGTCTGCAGGAGATGAGGGTAATGCGGTGAAGCAATGCACCAATGATAAGCTGAGAGCAACCATGGAGGATAATGCTGCAGAATTCCAAGAGTTGGTGGAACAAGAAGGTGCCATTTTTGAAAAGGGTATGACTGCTGGTGGCATTACTGTTGAAGATCAAGACAAGGAAGCGGAACAATCTTCAGGTGACGAATCAAGTGTAACCGAGGGTGAGAATGCTGTGGAAGATAACAAGAAGGTGGATCAAGAAGATGCCATTAACAGACAAGGTACAGCTAAGGAAGACAGTGGTGTGGAGCCACAAGAGGAGGAGAACGTTGTGGATCCAGATCAAGGTGTGGATGGCCTTTCTGTACTAGATGAGGGTAATGTGGTGGCACAATGCACCAGTGATCAATTGAGAACAACCATGGAAGATAATGCTGCAGAATTGCAAGAGTTGGTGGAGCAAGAAGGTTCCATTTTTTAAAAGGGTGTGGCCTCAGATGGCATTACTGTTGAAGATCAAGACAAGGAAATGGGACAATCTGCAGGTGATGAATCAAGAGCGACCAAGGGTGAGAATGCTGTGGAAGATAAAAAGGTGTATCAAGAAGATGCCATTGACAAACAAGGTGCAGCTAAGGATTGCAGTGGTGTGGAGTCACAAGAGGAGAACATGGTGGTTCCAGATCAAGGTATGGATGGCCTTTCTGTACTAGATGAGGGTAATGTGGTGCCGCAGTGCACCAGTGATCAACTGAGAACAACCACAGATAATAATGCTGCAGTTGATCCAGAGGTTCTGGAGCAAGAAGGTGTTGGTAGCGTACTGGGTGCAGCCAAGGTTGGCATTGCTGTGGAAGAATCGCGAGAGGAGGACATCATGGTGGCAGAGCAAGTTGAAGATGGTGTTTTTGTACAGGATCAAGATGAGGCAGTGGAGCAACGCACCAGTGATCAACTGAGAACAATCACAGATAATAATGCTGTGGAAGATCAAGAGGTACACAGAGAGAAGATTGTTCTCTCTGAAGGATATCCACAGAGGCCTGGTAAACTGAACTGCCGTTTTTACATGTCAACCGGGAGCTGCTCATATGGGTCATCATGCCACTTCAATCATCCACGGGTAAAATTGGCATTAACTTCTTAACTCTGTTGGCTTTTCAGTATCAGCCTTCTTTCATCTGGCTAATGATATACAATCAACCATCTCACTCTATTTGATTTGTTTTACATGTGTGCATGCATCTTTTCCTTCACAATGCATTTTATCCATCTAAATTTGAAGTGCATGCTATAAAGATTTCAGTGCTGACCTGCTGTATTTCCAGTATGTGTGATATGCACTTTAGAAAGTCGTGGTTGTTTAGTGTTTTATTTTTCATTTGTGGATCTTATCATTATCTGGCATAACTTTCGTCCTTTTTTCATATTGAAACATGTTTTCATCACTACAGCTCAAAGCAAAACTGGAAGTTTCAAGTTTCCCTTCTGAACAAAGAAATCATGAAGTTGAATTTCTGGAACTGAACCGTGTTGGCCTCCCCATTCGAGAAGTATGCATTTTCCTGTTTCCTTCTATTCATCTAAGCTGGTTCATAAACTTATGCTTCGCATTTAAAGCTGCTGAGCCAAATTTCGTTCTTTGATCAGGGAGCAAGGAAGTGTACCTATTACATGCGTAATGGTACATGCAGATATGGAAAGAAATGTTGTTATAACCATCCAGAGCAAGTTCTTGATGTTCAACTCCACACGGCAACAGGATGGGATGATACTAACTTGCAATCTTCACCACACTCAAAGAAGTCACCTGAACATGGAACCATGGATGACATATCGTCTGGATCTGAGATTCTTCCTCCAAACATACTTTGGATGCTTTTACCTCCTCAGAATGTGCCCCCTTGTACAGAAGAAAAGGAAATGAGGATAAAAAAGGTACATCCATACATGCTGCCTATTTGAATATTGTACATTTATGTAACTGTATATGTAAATATTGATTTCCCCACATCTTGGAATTCTGCAACATACTTTTTAGAAAAGAAACCCTATGTTTATTTTCTTGTAGCATATCTGATTGTATATGGATGAATGTTTTTCCAATCTTCATGGGGCCTGCAATTTCGTTTTTATTCTTTTTGTTTGTTCCTTTCAGATGTTATCAACCCAAACCCAAGCCATATGACCTCAAAAACCATGACACACTGCTCAGATGTATTTTCATTGTTGATTGAATAAATATTTGGCACTAGTATCTTCCAATATTTGTTGAATCTAATCTAGTAGATGCTTGAGTTGAACCTATAGACCTGGACCTTTATGTGAAAAGGCATTATGAATCTCTGATATGACTAGCCTGTGGCAGCTGAGCCGAAGTGTTAAGGAATTTTGCATGCTACTATTTGATTTTATTAGACATGCGTCCTTTTAATTCAAGTAAAGCAGATTTTTCACTTGCAATTTTGGAATTCCACATGTACTATGTAAACTGTGGCCATAGTAATGCATTCTTAATAACTTTTCTCATTTGCTTCAAGTAGGATCCTGATTGGGCATCTGCTTCAGGTGATTCTGATGGCTGCTGCTCGGCGGATAGTTCAGATGGGCCTTTGTGCAAGCAGGAACATGGGGACTATCCTGAGAGGCCTGAATGCCCTTTCCTTCTGAGATTTGGTAATTGTAGGTTTGGATCATCGTGCCAATATTACCATCCAAAAGACAAATTTTCAAGTACCTACCATCCAGAAGACAAATTCCAAAGTAGATACCATCCAAAAAAAGAGCCAGCACTATCAGGAGAACTGATGGTTTATCCTGACAGACCTGGTGAACCTGAGTGCCCCTTCGATGTGAAAACCGGGTCCTGTAAATTTGGTGCAAACTGTAAGTTTCATCACCCGAAGGATATAAACCCAAGCATGCAGGGTCCAGCAAGTCCAAAAAGGTCAGTTGCTGCAAACGAACACCACCCTGCAGCTAGAACCACACTACAAGATCAGATGTACCAGCAACAAAAATATCCTGAGAGGCCTGGTCAACCAGATTGCCGGTACTACATGCAATTTGGGAAATGTAAATTTGAATCAGCATGTATATTCAATCATCCAAAAGAACTTTCAAGTGGGTGGCATCCGGCAGAATGCCCATTCTACATGAAAACTGGGACATGCCAATTTGGATCAGCTTGTGAATTTTATCACCCGAAAGATCGGTGCCCAAGCAGAGGGGTATGTATTTATTATTGATGGTTAGTTCATTCAGTGGTAGTTCTTTTTCTTGTCTTCTCTTTAATTAGTAGCACCTATTGCTAGTCACTACCTTACTTCTTAATCACTGGAAAAGGCACAAGCTAGTAACTGAACACACCTTTTCAAATTACCTGTGGCATTCCAAGATTCTTTAGTTGGTTTCAAACTACAGTAACAATGATGATTTGATTATCTGTTATGTAGATAAGAAAGAGTGTGCATGCTTGTTTTTTAAGCATTGTAATCTGTGCTTGTTATTCCTGATCTGATGTTTATGCAAAGAAATGTTATTCCTAAATGGCCTCAAGGTGTTTCTGTTTGGGTTGGGAGATCTCCTTTGTGTCCATGATATACTTTCTTCTTAATGAAATGATATGCAGCTCTCCTGCATGTTCGAGCCGGGGATTAGGTGTTCACAGATTTTCACATTGTGATTTGACTGATTTCAACTATACATGGTTTATTTCTCCTTTCTGGTATTTGAACTGTGGAGCTGTGTTGTTTCAGGGAGTAGTTGATGGTACTGACTATGGACATGATTTTGCCACTGAGTCATAGAATGTTCTGCAGCAACAGGAACAGGCAATATATCCTGAAAGGCCTGGTGAACTTGAGTGTCCTCACTACATGAAGCATGGCTACTGTAAATTTCAGATGAACTGCAAATTTCATCATCCAAGAGATCGTCTTCCAAAGAAATAGGTATGTACTTGTTTATTTTTTGTATCAAATGTTCATAAGAATATGCCTTACATCTTTGAGGGTTTGTTCTGTGTAAATGTTCAAATAAATATGATTTACAGCCTAGCAGTTAAGGAAAAGGAAGAAAAAAGGGCACCTACATTCAGTTTACTCTCTTATAGTGTCCTTTTCTTGGTAGTAGGTACTGCATTTCCTGTTTAAGCATTGCATTGCCATTGCTGGTTCTGAGCCCCTCTCTCTTTTTGAGCAACATGAACCAACACTAAGTTTTCTTTACATATATAATTTGATCCAATATTAAGTCTGTCACCATTTTGTTTTGCATTTTGAATGATCTGAGGGTAGCTGACGTTTGCACATCACACAAGCTGCTGCAACTGACATGCTGAAACTAGCTCTATCAAAGCACACAGCCTGCTGCAACTGACATGCTGAAACTAGCTCTCTTATAGTGTCCTTTTCTTGGTACTGCATATGCTATTTACCATGCACACAAGTAGCCTGTTCGTTTGGCTGTGGCTTGTCGTAAACGATCGTAAATTTCCAGCCGGAACAGTATTTTTCTCTCACACAAACCAGCCAGCAGTACTTCTTCACGAACCAGCAACGATACGAACCAGCCAACCGAACAGGCTGAAGAATGGCACAACAGGTCTGCATACGTTTTGCCATTGTGGGTTTGGACCCCTTTCTCTTTTGGGCGACATGATCCAAAATTAAGGCCCCATTTGGAGGAGCCGGAGCCAGAGCACCTGGAAGTCACGCCAAAGGCCCTAACTTGATCACTGTTTTGTGTTGCATTTGAATCACCTGAGGGTAGCTGATGTTTGCACATTACACAAGCTGCTGCAACTGATCACTGTTTTGTGTTGCAATTTGAATCACCTGAAGGTAGCTGACGTTTGCACAGTGCACAGGCTGCTGCAATTGACATGCTGAAACTAGCCCGTTACAGCACCATAGCACATGGCAGCTTTTGCTTGTTTTGTCCCCTCATCTGACTTGCTCCCTTGGTGTTTTGGTTGCCCTGTTTGTAGGACCGTTTCGCTACGTAACTGACTCTGGTGGGGATATGACTGGCTGTGGCTGATGAGTGGAGCAAGTTCTGATGATGGAACAGAAATGCTTGTAGGAACCCCTAGTCTTCCTTTTTGGAGAGATGGATTCAACTCATGTCTATGCCGAATTTCTGCCCGTTAGAGTTCTAGTACCAGATGCGAACTGCCTGGTGGCTCTCAACTCCCAGTCACTCATATACCATCTAACATTGCTGCGACCTCGATGTGGTGTTAACTTGAGTTTCTGGATTACGGTAACTCAGCATGCAGCTCAGGTCCCTGCAGCCGCTGAAGATTGGGATAACGGCTAGATTAAAATATCAGACCATATTCTGTACGTCTAAAACGGAGCAGGAGCTCTCTCTCCCTCACTTCAATAAGCTCAAAACAGAGCAGGAGCTCTCTCTCTCCCTCACTTCAGTACGCCCAAAACAGAGCAGGAGCTCTTTCTCTCCCTCCATTGTTGACCTCAAGCCGTCAAGCAAATCTATGGATTTCCCCATCAATCTTTGAGGGGAAATGGTATAAAACTCGATTAGAGAGCGGCTTCATTGATTTCCCAACTCTAAAGAGCACTTGATTCACGTTTTGGCCGACAGTGGTGTTTGTTACTCTTGGAACTTGGCTCCTAGCCGGCTAGAGCGTCGCCCGTGGAGCTTGCCAACTTATGTGGCAGCCTTGGGAATTTTGTAACCATCTCTTGAAGCTAGTAAACTCACTCCTCATCTCAAGAGTTAAGTCTCTTGACTAGAACGAGGAAGGGTTGGAAAGCCCTAAGCCTTAGTGGCTAACCTCAACGTGGACGTAGGCAAGCCTTGGTAGCGAGCCGAACCACGAAATAAATCATTGTGTCACTTGTGCTTGATTTACATTACTTGCATTTCATATTGTTGGTTAAGGTGATTTCTAGGGTTTCTAGTCGATCTACTTATGTGTAGTGTTCCTACAACTTCTAGCTCTTGATCTGTAGTAGGTCGGAGAAATTTCTCTACGATGTAAGTTTCGTTCATCGATTTTGAACTGACTCGACTGGTTGTGTCTTTAGTCTTGCGCAAGTGTCTCTTGGAGTGCCGCCCTCGAGCAGAAGAGTGCCGCATGGTGAATTTGATAAAAGTTTGAGTATTTGTTTTAACAGACCTATTCACCCCCCCCTCTAGGCCAACCAGAGATCCTACAGTAGGATTTGTAAAATAGTGATGGTTTGGGAAAGAAAAATGAAAGCTTCTTTTCTTACCAATTTATTCCCGATGGAAGAGGTGGGTTATCATGGAATAGGGTAGGCAATTGCAAAAATGCCCTCGTTGCTCTATGAAACTCAAATTTGCAACGGAGTTAAATGTAATAGCGGTCTATAGACTTGTGAAGGATGTTATCTAACAAGTGGTGCACCGTAATGGTCGGTATGATCCAAAATGGCTCTGCAGTGCAACATTTTACAAATTTAGAGGTGTGTGGTGCACAACTTATCAAGTTTATAAATAAATAGAAATGTATTTTCAAAGCTCATGGACCTAACTGACATTACTTGATAAGTTTAGAAGCTGCTCGTACATTTAACTCTTTTCAACAAGAGCGGTATTATAATAACATCATATATCCCTAACCCAAACCTATTTTAAAGAAAAAGAGTGATATAGCTCTAACATATACCCACACTTAAACAACGCACTTCATATCCCCATGTCACTCTCTCTCCTACTCCCCTCCGTTCCAATTTTAAGTCATTTCAACTTTATTGAGAGTCAAAGCATTTCAAATTTGACCAAAATTGATGAGAGAATTATAAAGATTTGTAATATCAAATGGGTATACTATAAAAATATAATTAATAAAGAATTTAATGAAACTTATTTTGTATTATAAATATTATTATTTTATTATATAAATTTGATCATACTTGTGATGTTTTCACTCTCAAAAAGTTGGAATACTTATAATTCGGTACGGAGGGAGTACTTTCCAACGGCACCTTAGAGGATTAGAGCCGTCCCTACATAACCCACAAAGTGTCAAAGTGGGAGCAGCCGCATTGTATCTTGCCGATATCGGTAATAAGGTGGGCCCATGCAGTCGACGGCAGTAGCAGTAGGGATGAAAACGGATCGGATACGAACGGATATCACTCATATTATATTTGTTTTCATATTTCTGTTCGGATTCGGATTCGAACACGGATAGCGTTCGGATACATATACGAATACGGATTGACTCGGTTACGGATACGAATAATGAGTATCGAATACGGTATGAATCGGATTCGGAGAAGGTCGGATACAAATATCTATTCGGATATTGAGTAAAAGCAGCATATATATATATATATATATATATATATATATCATACGTGCGCAAACTATTACACCACTCTATAAGTCCATAATCCATCTAGATTAAGCCGAAAGACTAAAGAGTAAAGCAACAAATAAGATAAAGATACAGATACATCATACAAGCACCAATCTTCGCGGCATGAGTAGAAATAGCCAAGCTCATGGCTTCATGGGTCTCATGGAGTCATGGTCATGGATTTAAGATCTATAATCCTTATATAGGCTATTTTTTCATTTGAGAAAGTTTGAACAAAATGTAGTTCAAATTTCACAAGTGTGTGACATAGTTTTAGAAAGTCTATATGAGATTCAAGAATTTGTGACTAGTGTTTGATAAAACTTTCTCAAATGGGAAAATGAGCTATGTAACAATTGTAGATCTTGCTGAGATGATCAAACTTGGTATTCAGAGTTTTTTCATCTGAGGTCATTTAGTGTCTCATTTGAGCAAGTTTGACCAAGTGAAATTTGGTCAAATGAAAAAACAACACTTTGACTTTAGTATTATGAACTCTAAATGACTTCAAATAGAAAAGTTTTGAATACCAAGTTTGTTCAACTCATCAAGATATACAATTCTTGTTTTGGTCAACTTTCCATTTGAGATAGTTTGGACGGTTCAAATTTGTGATTTTTAAATTTCGATGCTTACAAACTAGTTTTCGGAACCCTCGATTGTCTCAAATTGAAAAGTTTTGAATATCAAGTTTGTTCAGCTCATCAAGATCTACAATCCTTATATAGGCTATTTTTTCATTTGAGAAAGTTTGAATAAAATGTAGTTTAAATTTCACAAGTGTGTGACATAGTTTCAAAAATTCTATATGAGATTCAAGAATTTGTGACTAGTGTTTGATAAAACTTTCTCAAATGGGAAAATGAGCTGTGTAACAATTGTATATCTTGCTGAGATGATCAAACTTGGTATTCAGAGTTTTTTCATCTGAGGTCAATTAGTGTCTCATTTGAGCAAGTTTGACCAAGTGAAATTTGGTCAAATGAAAAAACAACACTTTGACTTTAGTATTATGAACTCTAAATGACTTCAAATAGAAAAGTTTTGAATACCAAGTTTGTTCAACTCATCAAGATATACAATTCTTGTTTTGGTCAACTTTCCATTTGAGATAGTTTGGACGGTTCAAATTTGTGATTTTTAAATTTTGATGCTTACAAACTAGTTTTCGGAACCCTCGATTGTCTCAAATTGAAAAGTTTTGAATACCAAGTTTGTTCAGCTCATCAAGATCTACAATCCTTATATAGGCTATTTTTTCATTTTAGAAAGTTTGAATAAAATGTAGTTCAAATTTCACAAGTGTGTGACATAGTTTCAGAAAGTCTATATGAGATTCAAGAATTTGTGACTAGTGTTTGATAAAACTTTCTCAAATGGGAAAATGAGCTGTGTAACAATTGTATATCTTGCTGAGATGATCAAACTTGGTATTCAGAGTTTTTTCATCTGAGGTCAATTAGTGTCTCATTTGAGCAAGTTTGACCAAGTGAAATTTGGTCAAATGAAAAAACAACACTTTGACTCTAGTATTATGAACTCTAAATGACTTCAAATTGAAAATTTTTGAATACCAAGTTTGTTCAAATCATCAAT